AAACATTCTTCTAGGTGGTATAGCACTGGTCTGTGCGTTGCTGTACAGAGGTAACCTGTAGTTGCTGTGATGCTGAAGACTGTGACAGTGATGTGTCAATCGTGGTAATGGGTGCCCATGGTGGACAGTGTTGGCTGGAGCTTCCCGTCTAAAACAAGCCTGGAAGCAGGAGTGGCATACACTTCTGAAATGGCTTGCCTCCGGAAACTCTATGTATGAACAGTGCTCAGGCTGTTCGTTCATAGGGTCGCTATGAGTCGTCTACGACTCAATGGCCCCAAACAACAACACAACAACATCATTGATATCACATGCAAGCAAGATTTAGCTGAAGATTATCCAAAAATGAACACAGAACTGCCTGAAGGGCAGGTTGGGCTTAGAAGAGGCCGTGGTACTAGAGATATTATAGCTAATGTCAGATGAATCTTGTCAGAGAGTACCAGAGGAATGTCTATCTGTGTTTCATTGACTATGCAAAGGCATTTGACTGTGTAGATCACAATAAACTGTGGCTGACTCTCCGAAGAATGTGCTTATGTGAAATCTTATACTTGGGCCGGGAGGTAGTCGTCAGAACAGAGCAAGGAAATACTGCATGACTCAAAATTAGGAAGGGTGTGCCCCAAGGATGTATCCTATCTCCATATCTTTTCAATCTATATGTGGAACAGATTATCTGGGAGGCTGGGCTCTGTTAGGAGAAATGTGGCGTTAGGATTGGAGGTAGACTCATCAACAGTCTATTGGAGGTAGACTCATCAACAGTCTGTTATGCAGATGACACAACCCTGCTTGCAGAAACTGAGGAAGATCTGAAGTGCTTGCTACAGAAGGTCAAGGACTGCAGCCTTCAATATGGATTGAGGCTCAACATCAGGGAAACAAAGATTCTCATCACTGGGCTGACTGGCAGCATCATGATGGATGGTGAAGAAACTGAGATGCAGCTTAATCAGTTGAATCAACAGTTTCAGTTTGCTTGGCTCTACAATCAACATAGTTGGTACCAGCAACCAGGAAATTAAAAGATGAATTGCATTGGGAAAGTCTGCTGTCAGAGAACTCTCCAAAATACTAAAGAGCAATGATGTCTGTTTGGAGATTAAGGTGAACCTGATGCAGGCCATGGTCTTTGAAATTACTTGCTATGCATCAGAAAGCTGGACAATGATTAGGGATGATAGGAGGAGAATGGATGCCTTTGAGCTGTGGTGCTCGAGATGAGTATTGAATATACCTTGGACAGCTCAGAGAACAAACAATTTTGTCCTGGTAAGGGGGAAGCCCAGCTGCTCCTTGGAGGAAAGGATTCTGAAGCTTCGTCTGACATACTTTGGGCATGTTGCAAGGCAGGAGAGGGACATCATGCTTGGGGGTGGGGTGGGGTGGAGGGACAGCACAGGAGAAGAAGGATGGAATGATTCAATGAGTGGAATAATGGGGGTAGGTGTGACAGAGACTGAGATTGGCACAGGATATAGCAGGGTTTAGGGCTGTTGTGCATAGGTTTGCTATGAGTCATCGGTGACTCAATGGCACATAACAATAACAACAACAACATACCATAATTATATAGAAAGAGGAATTTGATTTCTCTAGACCAAAAGAAAAGACAATAATTTGTTAAAAAAGGAGAAGGAAGGGGAGAGATTAGAGATGAAGAACTCTCTAAGGTTATTCTAATATTCTAACATAAAAGAAAAAGATCACTTTTGGGGGCTTAATTTTGCTAATCTGTAAAATGTCAAACTTCTACAGATTATGTTTAACATTCTAAAATTCTAAGTTGTTTGGGTTTTTTTTTCTTTTACATTTTATTTTATTATTTTTTGTGCATGTACCGTCAAATCAGAACTGACTGGTACAGGAGGAGATTGTCCCTCCTTTTCCAGCAGAGCATCTGGTAGATCCGAACCTCACACCTCTGGGGTTGCAGTGCAGCTTCTTGCCACTAGGCCACCAGAGCTCCCTAGATTCTGAATTTTTAAAGGAATTGTTATAAATTTTAAGACCTAGACGTTTTAGAGATTTCTTTTATATTAGCAAAGTTTCTCTCCAGAAACACTCTTTTGGAACTTTTTTTTTTTTGTCACAAGGGTAAGATCAGGTGATGCCTGACAAGTTTTCCACTTTATCATTCACATACTGATCTCACTTACTTCTAACATTCTTCCTCTTAATTTTTTCACCTTTATTCCTAACCTTCTTCTAACACCTGTCCGGCACATGATAGATATTCAGTATATCTTGTCAGGTTGAATGAATAAAACCCAAATTTCCAAAGAAAAGTGTTAAGATTTATATTCATTTATGACTCACTGGAGACGGCTCAGATTGCTCAAATTTTACTCTTCCATCTTCCCATCCCAGCCATTCCCCCTAGTCACTAAAACCTTGTGATTTGACCAGAAGGCTCACTGGCTCTGCGTACCTGGGCTGTGTCTCTGTTGGCATCAGGCAGCGCCATGATCATGAGGTGTAAGGCTTGAAACTGTACTTTGATATGAGGTTCTCCTAAAAAGAAAATAGAATTACACATTTTAATCCCTCTGATTATCTGATAATATTTTTTGCTAGCATCATCTGATACACAGGAGAGTTACCAGTGGGTTTCAGTGAGAAGACAGAATTTGTGCCGAGCAGTATACATACTCTAATTTTGGATGGAAACCTCAATTTATCAGTTCTCCTTTCATGTTCCAAACAATAGTGATCAACGAGATCTTCATGGTAACAGTGGACTTGTGCAACATTTCCCTCTGAACACTGTCACATATCAGGTCATACTTTTATATCAGAAGCTCAATTTAAGTTAGCTTACAGAAAAATGGGCGATCTCCTCCAGAAAGATTTACAGCCTCTGAAAACCTACCAGAGGGTCAGCCATAAGTCATTTACAACTGGACAGTGCACAATAGTAATATACAGCAAGGCAGAGAAATAAAAGCACGTGCATTCTAGAAATAGGCTCAAAACATGCTTCTGTGATTTATGAGGGTTGTTTAACCTCTTGCTTCCATTTTATCAGCTGTGAAATGGGTAGCCATGGTAACCTACATCACAGAGATGGTATGAGGATGTAATGAATCAATCCACATACTATTTAAATTCATAGATGCATATAATCATGGCCACATAAGAGCTTGCTATCGTTGCTTAGCCAGTGACATCTAATTCTAGAACTTACTAGGACATTTAGGGCAGGGCTCTAGGGGTATAGTCGATAGGGAGCTATGCTGATAACCCAAATGTGGCTCCTCCGGATATTCAAATCCATGAATCAGCAGCTCCACGGGAGAAAGATGGGCTGTCTCCTCGCAGGAAACTTCCATCAATGCCATTGAGTCAGATCCAAGTCATCATTTACTTTCCCGCGGTTTGAGGTTTTGGTTTTGTTTGCTTGTTTGTTTGTTTTTTCTGTAAATTGCACAGGATGAGGCAGCCCATACAGTCTGTGAGAGTCTTATTATGCCTCAGTTCTGAAGACAGGGATCAATGGTAAGGAGTACTTTATTCCTGATCGTTGACACAAGGGGGCACTAGAGGGCTGGCATTTGCGCACTTTCACAATACTGGCCTTTTCCCCAGGAATTTTAGGGATTTCAAATAAACTCTGGAAAATCCACAACCAGCTGTGTTGAAAATTTAGTCACTAGAGAATCTAGGTTTCCCTTTGTCTGTAAATTATCCTCAAAAATGATCTCTTGGTGAGGAGTTCTTGAAGGAAAATTTATATTGGGTGATTGAAAGACTTCTTGCGAAGACTGAAATTCTGCTTGCGTAGCTAGTTTACAGGAGGTTGTGTACACCAGTATAGTGACGAGATAACCATTGTATATAATCATGTAAAAAAGGGGGGGACAGTTGGAATGAGTATGCAAACATATATTTAATATTTCAACTCACAATTTTTAGATATTTACTTCAAATTTGTATATAGAAAATGATTCAGGTGCCGATATTACTGGAAATGGGGAAGGCATGTTGACACAAGTTAGTATGAATATAAAAACTATCAAGAGATTGTTGTTTTTTTTTCCGAATTAACAAAGTTTATTTCGAGTTCGAACCCGGGCTCCTGTGTGCTGACACAGCAGCATCCAGCTGAGAGCCCAAGAGATTGTTTTAAAACAAAGGATTTATGGACAAACAAGGTATTGTCTTAGTGCAGACACCACGGGCTTCAGAAGGTCGCTGATAATCTTCCACTATAATCAGAAATCATTTCTGAAATGTAAAAAAAAAAACCCCAACACAAAACAAACAAACCAATGCAAACATAGGATTAAAATGTCTTCATTTTTCTCCATCAACTTCAGAGAATTTATGAAGTCTCCTTTTTAGATTAATTGACACCTTTGAACTGTGGCGTTGAAGAAGAGCACTGAACATCCATGGATGGCCAAGAGAACAAACAGCTGTGTCTTGGAGAGGGTGCAGCCAGAGTGCTCTTAGGAGGCAGGAATGATGAGGCTTCGCCTGACAAACGTTGGGCATGTTGCCAGGAGGGGTTATTCCTTGGAGAGGGACATGATGCTGGGAAAGGTGGAGGGTTAGCAAAGGAGAGGAAACCCCAAACCAGATGAATTTACAAAGTGACTGCTGTAATGGGCTCCTGTGTGTCAGGAAGTGTGAGGATGGCACAGCACACAAGAGGGTTCAGATCTTTTGTTCATATGGTAGCTATGACTTGACAACAACAACAGCAACAACTTTTTAGATAAAAAGTTTAAATTGGTAGGTAAACCATTTTAATTTACTTAACTATTGCCTTCAAAATAGCGTAAAAAATCTGTCTTTACGCTATTTTGAAGGCAATAGTTTTGTAGTTAATTCATTGATTGCATCCTAGTTGAGATGTATCTTTTTTTCCTGAGATTATTATCCCAGAAAATCATTAGGCTGTTCCTGAGTGTAAAATCTGAATGAAGTAGTCGCCTTTTAATTTAATGGGCAAATTTTTTGTCAGATATGAAGAGAGAAATCATTTTCACTAATGAAAGAGCCTCAGCTTTTTGTCGACTTGAGTTCTTCTTGTAGAATGCCAAGCAAAACAAAGGAAAACACAAGCAAAGCCCCCAGTGGTCTTTACTTATCTGCTAAGTTGTTTGGCACATAAAACCTACTATCTTTGAGTTGGTGCCACCTCATAATGCTCCTGCAGGCTGGAGTAGGACTGTCCCCCAGGGTTCCCAAGGTCAAAAGTCTTTACAGCAGCAGACCACTTTATTTTTCTCTGACTAGTTACCTGGCTCAAACCAGTTTACCTTTTGGTTAGTAGCACAATGCTTAACATCTTGCACTACTGGTATTCCTTGCTTAGTGATTAAACTATAGATGAAGGTCACTGGTATTGCGTTAGTGCCTTGATGTTGACTCTGAATCTTAATGACTCCATGTACAACAAATAAAACCTGGTCTGACTCTGTGCTATCCTTGCAATCTCTGCCGAGCCATCCTTGCAGTTACTGTGTCAACCCATCTTGTTGAGAGTCTCCCCCCCCCACCCAATTCTCTACTTAACCAGGCATAATGTTTTTTTCTAGGGATCAGGTGCTTTAACCACAGATTGATTCACTCTTTTAGCAGAAGCTCTGATGGTAAGAAGTTGCATTGCAATCCTAAAGGAATGCGATTTGAATCCACCAATTGATCCAAGGGAGAAGGATGGGCAATCTCTTCAAGTGTGATTACTACCTCTGAAAAGCTGCTGGAGGGTCAGATATGGATTAACTCCAACTTGATGGCAAACAACAACTGGTGGCATAGGTGGTCTTTAAGGAGTTGAACTGCTAACCCAAAGTCTGCACCTCTCTGGCAGTTTGAATCCAAGGGAGAAAGATGAGCAATCTCTCCTCCTGTGTGGATTTCAGGCTCAAAAACCCAGTGGAGAAAGTCAGCTATGACTTGGTTCCATCTTAGGGGCAAGAGAGAAAGAAGAATGTATATTCAATATTTCTCATCAATACCACACTTGAAAGATATCAATTATTCTTCAGTTTTCCCTTCTTCATTATCCAACTGTCACGTGCATGTAAGGCAACTAAAAGTACCGTTCCTTGGATACACTTTTTATTACTTGAATGAGATACCAGGCAGCAGATCTGCCCAATGCAACGTGCTTTATTTCTTGACTGCTGCTTTCATGAACATAGAGATTCAAGTCAAAGGAAATGGTTCAACCTATGCTTCACTTATCATTATGATGGTTATTGGTCCAGGGTGAGGATTTTTGTTTTCTGGATATTGAGATGTAAGGCATACTGAAGGTTGTAGTCTTTGATCTTCAGTAAGTGCCTCAACTTTACTTTCTTCAAACAAGGTTGTTGATGAGTCTTCCATTAATCCTGATGCCACAATCTTCATATAATACAGCTTTTTAGATTAATTGCTCAGTATAAATATTGAATAGATGTGAAGAAAGGATACAACCCTAACACACACCTTTTATGATTTTAAACTATGCACTGTTCTCTTGTTCTGTTCAAATGGCTGCTTCTTGCATTGTGTACAAGTTCTTCATGAGCACATATGAAGGGGAACCTAATAGTCTTCAGGCTTCCAGAATATCAAATATAGAAATCTTCTATGATTAATAACTTAAAATATATAGGAGGATCTTTAGCTAAACTCATCAGCTGCTGTAGTCAATTTAATCCTACATAGGGTTTGTTTTTTTTTTTAAAAACCTTATTTTATACTGGTTTATTTACAAAGTTAGTATATGTTGTTTTTTACACTGGATCTTTTCCTTTCTTGCACCACCACCACTCTCCACACATCAAATTGTGCAACTCTATGATTAACCTCTCCCACTAGAAACTATATAGAAGAAAATTGACAATAGCCACCGGTGAATTTAGATAAGGATCTTAGGTAACAGAGAGAAACATGATGAGAAACAACTCAGAAAAGGAGGATGAGATGTCTGCACAACTGTAAGAGTATAAGCAATACCACTGAATTGTATATGTAGAAATTGCTGAATTGGTTCTATGTTCTGCTTTGTATATTCTCAAAAACAAATTTTTATGAATATTTTTGTTATTCATATACATTTTGTTTCATTCCTGCTTCATGGCTGAAGGAGCCCTCTGGACCAACGATAATGTATGGACAAAAGAAAAACTTGTTTAAGGTAAACGAAAGTAGGCATTTGGTCACTAGGAACTAGGGAATGGAACAGGGAATGTGTCTCTTGTTTTCAGCTTTTACACTTGACATTAGAAAATTGTTTTGCAAGTGGCAAGTAAAACTCCAAAGAAAAAACTTCATCATTTTGGACTGAACATTTACGTTACAGCACTCAGAACAGTCATAGTCTCTGGGCTATTCCAGATGAAGACAGCAGCCAAAGGTGGCCTTTAATCGTAAAATAAATTCTGGTATAAAAACCCAGGCAAATATCTGGTTGACCCAAGAACCATACATGGGATAACCCAGCTGAGGCTAAAATCAGTGAACTGAGATGGAGCTACTACTCAGTCAAGTACATTCTCTAATTAAAAATAAACCAGTGAGCTCTGGTGGCCTACTGCAAGAAGCTATGTTGCAGTCCCAAAGGCATATGGTTCGAATCCACCAGATGCTCTGCTGAAGAAGGAGGGACAATATTCTCCTGTGCCAGCTGGATCTGATTCGATGGTATATACACACAAAAACCCAACCCCCCCCCCCACATACACCCACCCTCAGAAATTGCTGTTGTTGTTGTTATGTGCCGTTGAGTCGCTTGCGACTCATAGCAACCCTATGTACAACAGCCCTAAACCCTGCTCTATCCTGTGCCAATCTCACTGCCTCTGACACATCCATCCTGATTACTCCAGTAACTGAATCAATCCACTTCATAGAGGGTCTTCCCCTCCTGCACTGTCCCTCCACTCTGCCCAGCATGATGTCCCTCTCCAAAGACCTGTCTCTCCTTACAACATGTCCAAAGTATGTCAGGCGAAGCCCCAGAATCCTTGCCTCCAAGGAGCAGCCTGGCTTAACCCTCTCTAGGATGAATCTATTTGTTTTCTTGGCAGTCCATGGTACATTCAGTACTCTTCTCCAGCACCACAGCTCAAAGGCGTCAACTCTCCTTCTATCCTCCCTAGTCATTGTCCAACTCTCTGATGCATAACAAGTGATTGCAAAAACCATGGCCTGTATCAGGCGCACCCTAGTCTCCAGAGAGACACCGTTGCTCTTGAGTACTTTAGAGAGGTCCCTAACCGCAGACTTTCCCATCGCAATACGTTTTTTTATTTCCTGGCTACTGGTGCCAAGAGTGTTGACCGTGGAGCTGAGCAAACTGAAACTGTGAACAATCTCAATCTCTTCACCATCCATCCTGATGCTACCGATTGGTCCAGTAGTGAGAATTTTTGTCTTCTGGACATTGAGCCTCAGTCCATATTGAAGGCTGCAGTCCTTGACCCTCTGCAGTAAGTGCATGAGGTCCTCCTCAGTTTTAACCTCATAAAAACATAACCCTTCAAGCAGTCTTTGAAAAAAATGTAAAAAATCCGTAGTATTCAAATGTCAGAACATAGGAGTTACACAAAGAATAGCATGAAAATGGAACCCACTCTCAGTGGAAAAGACATTAAGAAGTGATTGAGATGGCCTCAATGTTGGAACTAGAAAATAAGGATTTTAAAGCAGTTAGCTGTGCTCAGTAATGCAAATGAAGATACAGTTGTAATGAATGAAAAGATAGGACATCCAAGCAGATTAGTAGGAAATATTAAAAAAGCACCCACTAGGAATTCTAAAACTGAAAACAGCAGCATCTGAAATAAAATAAATGATGGGGAAAAAAACCAAACCAACAAATGATGGGAACTAGATCTTCTCTCTCCCTCTAAATTTCTCTTAGAAAAGCACAGATCATACAAAGACAAGACATACCAGTCACAGACAGCATATGAACTGAAGCTTAGAAAAGCTTGTCTGTCATACTTTCTTCTTTAAGACACAAAAGATCCTTTTATAATTTAGATAACACGTTTATAGATTTGAAACATACTAATTTTCAGCATCGATTATAGTCATACAATTTAGGATCCGACTACCATTTTTTTTCACCATGGTTTTAAATGATTTTATAGTTCTGGTGGCATAGTCCTTAGGGAATGGTGCTGCCAACCCAGAGACCATGCCTCTCCTGTGATTTAAGCTCCACAGGAGAAAAATGGGCAGTCCCAGTCTATGTAATTGACAGCCTCAGAGACCCTGTGGAGGATCAGCTACAAGTCAGTTCTGACTTGAGAGCTATGAGTGAGTGATCAACCTGCAGAAAGCTGTGATGCGGATATTATCAATTAAGTTCTGTGCCTTAAATGTGGCTGACATTTTCAAACTAAGAGGTTTTCCTCTTAAAGCCTAGAGTTAGGCTCTCAATTTTTGCATAATAACGTCTATGTAGAACTCAGCAGTGGCTAACCTGTTTGGAAAAGATCACACGGACGTAAAGTTGGCCCTTTCTGTCCACTCAATACTTACATGCATATTTATGCTGCGCCTTCTCAAGAACTCAGGCCCACGCTCCCACTACCTAGTCACCCTTACTTTTCTAAATTTTCTCTTGCTACCCACTACAGCACTCATCTATAATCCTAAAACCATACCAGAGTCTTCACTGTCAAACACAGCACACATTTTCCAGTTTCTTTGTTTTACCAAATCCCTCTCTGTGCCATTGTGATTGCCAGGAGCATTCGGTGGTTGTGTACTTTCCAAAGACAAACTCTCTCCTATGACACATTGACTTGTAGCTACATCATCAAACTGAAGACCTCAGAGACAGAAGGCTCATATTTTAGAGGCACTAACTCACAATGGGCAATAGAGAGGAAGACCTCATCCATCGAGATGGACTGACATGAAGATTGTAGAAATGTGCTATCAGAGACAGTGAGGACAGCACAGGATAGGGCAGGATTCAGATCTGTCGGTTAGAAGGTTGCTATGAGTCATGCTTGACAGCATCTAACAACAACAATACAACGTTCTATAGGGAGTTGCACCACTAACCCAAAGGCTGCACCTTTCTGATGATTCTAATCCCCAAGCACGTCTGCAGGGGGAAATGAGCAATCTCCTCTCATGTAATTTACGGCCTCTGAAAACTCACTGAGTGTCAGCTATGAGTAGGTTCCAGTTTAATGGCAATGAGAGTAAGTTATTATTATACAGTAGGCAGTAGTTTATATGTCTTCTTTAATAGTCCTGACAACAACCCTGACAAATAACGATTATTTTCAAGTGTAGCAATTGAAACTCAGTTGATTGCAGAGTTAATAGATGGTTGAGCAGGAAATCCAATCTCAAGAGCCTGGTGTTTCTGCAAACTCCTGCTTCCTTAAAATGATTATGAAGCTCTAAATCAGAATGACTAGACTTAGATACATAAACACGAGAGGTGACCTTTTAACAACAAATTCAATAATTCACCAAGGACTGCCAGGAAATAGCAAATTATACCATTATGAGCACACACTCGACTATACATCTATATTCTGCTTTTTGTCACTTTATTACATCAGTCCATTCACTCTTCACTTCTACCTACTTTCCATTAGAGCGATGAAGGCAGGTATGTATTCCACAGGGAAAAGAGATGTGGGTAGTTCTCTGAAAAATGCCTTCAACATCACTGCAGCTTCTCTATGGCACATTTTGTCCCACTTAAATTTATCAGCATTAAACTTGGCATCCAGTTCTTCGCGGTATTGCTGCAAACCAAAGAAAATGGTTAGCATGCAGTGAATTTTTACCACCTGGCCCTTTCCTACTTCTGAAAACTATCAATACATAAACTATTTTTTAAAGCAGATTGAACTCTTGAAAAGCCAATTTCTAGTAAGTCTATTTATTTTCAACATTATTAAGAGATGACATAATTATTTCTAAGCAAATTTTTGGGGAAAAAGTTCTAAAACACTTTTGGAATGTTAATTTGAGACTATGATTAATGATTCTCGCAACTATAAAAGTTCTCTACTCAGATTATAGAAAGGAACCTTTTCTGTGATTTTGGCAAGATGCCCCTATTCCCACACAGTAGATGAAAATGTCTACAAAGCCTTAACTTCCCTTTGTGCTTTATCTCTTCCACCATCCTCACTTCTGTTTCTAAACAGATCATGAAAGCGTGCTTCTTGGCTTGTTCACATTCAGAATGAGGGCTATCTAGAGGGGAACTCTGACCTTGCTGCGACTTGCATGGGATGTTATCTTCCTGGAGCAGTCACTGCCAAGGTTAATGCCAAGGCCTACATGTGCACACTTTCTACATGTCTGTGCGCTTGCTCAGACCCTCCTCTGGTTTGGAAGATTGAATACCTGGGAGTAGGAGGAGCCTTTCAACTTCTCTGAGTTGTACTTACATTACAAATGCTATATTATTAATTCATCAGATTATCAATACCATCTATTCTCCATGTTTCTCTTTTCAAAATCAAAGTCACACTGTCAGAGAATTATAGCCAGCTCCCCAACTGACAATGCCTTCCCCAAAAAAGGGTATTTATTTGGAAAAATAACCCCGAAAATAGTTTCTGTGAGGCCTTTACTTTATTCTCATGAGAAGCCTAATTCATCCAGCCATATCCATGAATGGTTGTAGGAAACCATTACATATGTAGAACATGTATGTGAATAATAATAATAATGTCACTTTGGAATCTGGTAGCCTAGCCTATAGGGAATTGTACTGCTAACCTCAAGGTGGTGCCTTCTCTGGAAGTTTGAATCAACCAGAAGCTCCAAGAAAGAAAGATGGATAATTTCCTTCTCTGTGACTTACAGTCTCCTTAAACCCCACTTTAGGGTCAGCAAGGATTGAATTGTGACTCAATGGCAATAGGTTACAAGGTTATGATTTTAATGTCACTTCATCTTGACTGGATGGCAAGTGAAAAGCAAGCTGACAGAAAGAATCTCCTCTGTTTCTACTTGAACAGAACTGATGGTAATGAACATGAGAGCAGCTACTGAATTTCTGTCCAAATCAATGAGAACCCTAGTTAAGGGTCTAAAGCCACATGCTTACATTTATTTCCTCTAAGCAAAAATGAGCCTGCTTAAACCTCTGAGGCAATGTTACAACAACGTAGATGACCAGCTTTCCGAATAAAAAATCAGCTCTGGAATGTACACCAAGCAGGTAATGCAATTCCATGGTTATAAAACATTTATCCCAGACTTAGAATAATTATGAAATGAGTCAAAGAAGAAAGCTTTACATGTCAAACCATCTATTGTCATTCTACATTCAGAATGAGAGCTATCTAGAGGGGAACTCTGACCTTGCTGTGATTGCACAGGATGTTATCTTCCTGGAGCAGTCACTGTCAAAGTTAATGCCAAGGCTTACCTGTGCACACCTTTCACATGTCTGTGCACTTGCCCAGACTCCCCTCTGGTTTTCTGATATATATTTCTTAAGGTTTGGCTCAAGTTTCTGTCATTAAAGAAAACACTAGGAACCAGAAGGTACCCAATCGGTTCCAAACGTTCCGAGGCCTCAAACCCAGGAGTTGGCTTTGGGGCTGTGCGTGTGCAACTTGGCTAAAACTCTTCGCACCCTCTTAGTGTGGTCTCCCTGCTTTCTTACTACGCCTGTAGAGTAGAAGCCCAGACCTGATTTTTCACATGGAATGTTGAGGGTGATAGGGTTATTACTTCTTACTGGGCACAATTTGAGTATAATTATGACAATGTTTAAAAAAATCTGTCTTTAAAAAAAAATCTGTCTTTATCTACACATGTTACTAGAAAAAAAACAGTTTAGTAGATGAAACAACTAAAAGAAGTAGTACAAAATTTGGACTAAGGAGGGAAATAAAGACTCATTTGTTATATCAGGTTACAATTCCTCCTAATTGTAACGTCTTCCTGCTCCTGTTCACTGCCCCAGATTTCATTCCCATTTGCCTTCCTGGAGCTCAAACAATGGACACATCTGGGTTACATTTTTCTGATAAACATGTGCTGGAATAGCTAGGTTTAAGCTGCATAACTGATGGAGACATTCAGGAACGCATTTCTCAAAGATTAGCCAGTGAAAAATAACTTCTGCTGTGATGTTAAACTTTTATTGCACACAAAAATATCCATGCAATGTTTTCTACTTTCTCTTTTTATTATATAGAGGGAATGTTTCTGTTATACTTAAAAGGGGGTTCTGGTTGTGTTACCAATCCAAGGGCACACAGTTCACCTTCACCAGCTGCTCTGCAGGACAAGGATGGCAGTCTCCTCCAGTGGAGTTTACTGCCTCTGAAAACTCACCGAATGGTCAGCTATGGGTCAGTTCCAACTAGATACCATATAACAACAATCACACTTTATACACACTTGCATGCATACACACCTGCACACACTTGTCTCAGTAAAAATATGTGAAGAAACAGTTTCTCAGAGTTAAGAGAGATGGTTAGTGGGAAGGAATCTGATTCTGTTTAGAAAATTTTTATGACCTCATCTTGCTTCTATGACTCCACAGATACCACAAAAGATTTAACTGAAGCCAGTGAGAGCTTTCTCTTTAGGCTGAGGACACATTCATTCAGAAGTATGTGTAGAATAGAACCTTAAAAAATTGAGACACTTAAAAGTAGATTTTTAAAAAAAATTATAAACTTGCAGGAGCCATTAGGAATTTTCTTATATCAGCATTCAGCAACCTCCATTTCCAGGAAAACCCACCTCCTTAGCTTTCCCCACCACTGCAGCCACAGGGAACACTCTCCTGCAGCCCTCCTCCCCTCTTCAAGAAAAAGCATGCCATTCAGCTGAGAAAGTACAGGGAATTCACCTTCCCGACTATCAGCACCTTTGGGATCTGCCTCAGCACTTGAACTGAAGCCATCTCTGCACAGGCAATGCCAGCCAAAGGCAAGGGGGAGGAATGCATGTGTGGTGGATACATGTACATGCTTGTTTTGTATGTGTGTGCATGCATATGAGTGGGGTGTGTGCCTGTGTGTGTAGTGTGAGCTGAGTGTGTTCATGTGGTTCATGTGTGTGCTTGTGTGGTATATGTATGTGTATGTGTGTAATGTGCATGCATGTGTGTATGTGGCCTATGTATGTCTGTGGCCTGGCCCTCGGTGAAGGTTCCTGGATAGGAGCTGTCAGCCATGTACCATGCTCGAAGGTGTTCCCCGCACAGCTGGGCTTCCTTCACCTTTTCTCTCTCACAGGTTTTATGCCTAGATAACCAGCACTTTTCTATCCACCCTCAGCATCTGCTTTTCAGAGGACACAATTGACACAGCTCATTTCATCTCAGTTTCTGCTTAGAAAAACATCTTGTCAAGCCTTGAGAATTCTGATACAAAATTTTTCCAAATATGTATCAAAATGAGTTGACAGAAAAAAGTTCTTCCATTTCCACACATTATCTTTTAGTAGTTGTAAACTAAATGGGAATTAATTTTTCCCTCACTCTGAGCCTTCTTCTTAGGAATTCTTAATTTTAGTTTTTCTGGCTTGAATAGCCACAGTGACCAAAGTGGAATATTTCAATGGAAACTGATGAGAAAAGCTCATTTTTTTTGGCTAATGATGCTTTCCTTTGTTGTACTTTTATATTGCCTACTAACTTTGCAGTGAGTTTGAGTTGGCTGGGTTGTGGGTATTTTTTCTTTGTTTAAGGAACAAAAAAGCAAAGAAAAAAAAATTCCCATTGCACAGGGTGTGTTATGTGTGTAAACTAACATTACCTTAAAAGGAATTGGGTTTTAGAATCGCTGAGTAAGTATTTCAGTGGTTATGACCATAACTACAAATTGCTTTAAGAATTTTCATGAAAAGAAGAGCAAGAAAATGCTTCTAAATTTAAAGTTACTAATAATGGAAGTAAGAGCTCATACAATGCTGGCTAAGTTACTGACACAACAAGTTACTGCTTAGAAAACTAATAGTGAGGGGGCAATTGAACTTTTCAAACCAAGGACAAGCAATTTTGATGTGTTATTTTTATATCAAATAAAGAACACAGCTTACTAGAGACCTGATGTTTGTATACCTGTGCTGAGTGACATCTATGACCTATGAACAACAGGAGAAGAGAAACCACTCAGTACCTTGACTTTGGCAGTACATCCTGAGAGTCGGAAAATTCCTTCAGACTCCAGTCCCGATTCCTCAACTTTCTCAAAAAACTAGAAAGAAATGACAGAAATAAGTTAGCACTTTTACCTGAAAGAATAATGTCCACAGTTGCAAAGCTGCAAAGTGTGCGTCAGATCTTTGAATGCCTTGTTCAGTCTCCACAATCTCTTGTTAGAGGAATATAACCTTCCACTTTGCAATGAGGAAATTAAGGCTGCAGATGTGATAGAATCTTCTAGGCTCAACCTAGTAAATAAAGGCAATGGTTCTCTCCAGCTAGCCCGCTTGACTTCTTTAAGACCTGATTATGTTGCTGCCTTGTGAAGACTGACCAAAACTAAGAGATTCTAGATTAATGATCGTTAATTGCATATATCCCACCTAAGAATCTACAGGAATCCTAGGTATCTGAGGCCTCAAACTCACAGCCCGGAAGTCGAGTCCCATGCATATGGACACCACCACACTTCCGCAAGGCTGCACATCTTAACAAGAGGAGACAGACCATCTTTCTCCCTCTGAATGGCTGGGAGATCAGAACTGTCAGAAACTCACAGACTTATGGTTAGCAGGACTGCACACCACAGAACAACCTGCATCACCAGAGACCTCGATGGAGTTAAACATTTTAGAAGTCATTATCTCCCATGAAGTCTCATGGTGATGGTGGTAAAACAATAGTAATAAGCATTAATACGAACTGTGCTCTTAATGTGAGTCAGATACTGTTCATTATATGTATTCACACATTTCACGCTCATATTCACTCACTGACATCAAAGTGGAGCTGACTCATAGCAGACTTGTCAGCAGGTTTTCAGAGGTTGTCCGTTTCTCTGGAGGAGATTCTGCTGGCTGTTTCCAAGAGGCTACCTCCAGGTTATTAGCATAATCTCCTGTGGCCTATGCACCAGAATTACCTATTAATTCTATGAGGTAGGTACTATTATTAACCAACCCATCCTAGAAATAAGGAGACTGAGGCACAAGGAAGATAAGCAACTTCCCCAAGTTTAACTTCCAGCAAGAAGGGGACCCAGAGTACCTGTTACTTTTCTTTCAAGAAATGATGCTTGATGCAACTATATATACTATATATGGAGAAAAGTATATATTCAATAGGAAGCAGAGTTATGTAAAGATTATCACACAGGAGTGGGAGATTAGTAACTCAAGTTGTCTTTATTAGAAATACACATTAGTGTTGATGACTTAAATTTAATTTTGATTTAATGACTTATCAAGCATCTTCTCTTTGCTAACTTCTGGGCTGGGTTTTTATACCTACATCTATACCACTTCCTAAACAACATGCCTCCGGAAACTCTATGAACGTTGATAAATGTCAATAGTTGTAGAAGGGCTTTAGGCCTTTTGTTCATAGGGTTGCTATGAGCTGTGCTTGACTTGAAGACAATCAACAACAACAACAACATACTTATAATAACATTTATACCTACTAAAATAACAAGCTGGTCTCATAGTGGTAAGGAGTTTTACTGCCAATCCAAAAGCACACAGTTTATATCGACCAGCTGCTCTATAGGAGAAATAAAGACAATCTCCTCCAGTGCTAATTATTGCCTCTGAAAACCTGCTGGAAGTTCAGCTACAGGTCGGTTCCAACTTGACAGTGTTGTTGTTGTTGTTGTTATGTGCCGTCGAGTCGCCTGCGATTCATAGTGACCCTATGTACAACAGCCCTAAACTCCGCTCTGTCCTGTG